ATAAAAAAGCGAAATTATAATGAGAGGTCTATTGCATCTTGAGTTGTTGAGCGAGATTACGAAGAGAGCGCGGGAAGTTCGCATCAAACTTCCGCTGTAAACAACACCAAAGTCAAAGGCCTTATTAGTCTTATTACCAGGAAATCTTATTTTTCAGCGAAGTCAGCAGACAGTGGCGACAGCCCAACTGTTTGTTCTATTGACGTGTTTTGAAGCGCAGAAATTTTATTGTTTTCTCTCATAAGATATCTTTAGTTCTGAAAAAACTGGCCGGTACGTGACGTGTGACGTCTAGAAAATATCTTGTGCTAGAATCTAATCAAGATCTAGAATCTATATATATATCTAGATCTAGATCTAGATTCTAGATATCTATATCTAGAGATCTAGTCTAGATTTAAATTTTAAATATCTAGATCTAGATCTAGATCTAGATCTAGTCTAGATCTAGATTAGATTCTAGATCTAGATATAGATCTAGATTGACTAGATCTAGATACCATCAGTCAGCATCAGCCAGTATTAGTATTACACTGCATGGAATTTCCTGAACAATAATTAAATCTGCACTGTCACTTAGGCCTAGAATTCGCGTAAATTTTGTACTACTAACTAGATTCTACTGGCATTTTTAAGATCTAGACTCCAGATCTGCCGTCGTAAGGGAAAACGACGAATGGTCCTGCGTAGGTAGCGAGGCAAATTTTTCAGGAGAAGCAAAAACAGTTTTCACTTTATAACTCTTCTATTTTTCACTCTTTTAAGCTGTTATTCACCAGATATCTGATTTAGATGTTCATAAAGCAGTTTCTAAAGTTTGAATGGTTTAGGTTAAAAAGTAGCAAAGTTATTCGACATTCGTCGTTCTCCCTTACACTGCGCACCCGCTGGTGAGCCTTGGGATGTAAGCAAAAACGAAGAATGGTACGGTTCGTCGTTCTCCCTTACACTCGAGAACGTTTATGGGCGAAGACGATGGTCAGTTATGACGCACCATTGACAGTAATGACTGTGTACTGGTAACTACAAATAAAAATAAGACGTATAATAACAAACCAGTTATTATACACGACGTAAGTTAGGTTTTTGTTATATCCCAACTGTAACTCGGTAAACGTCCTTCGTTTCCCTTCCCTGCTTGATTAAATACTACACAGCCAGTGTACAAATCAGATGTGCACACATTTGCAACCGCTTGATTTAAAACTGTCTCATTCGGAGCCAAAGTTTGGTTTCCAAAATATCTCTTTAATGTATTCTCTTCAGAAGCGAGTTTTACTTTTATTTTCGCTGTCTAATTGCAAATTTTTCCCTGCACGACCAAAGGGATCAACAATGTTACAATGTCAATAAATACAATCAGATCATTGCAAAGGTAAACTTTCACGTAAGAAATGTAACAATCTGACAAGACTGTATCTCAAACGCTTTTGGGAGAGGTAATGCAACGATGTTTAATAAAGAATTCAGTTGACCGGATCGGAAAACATAGGCCTACCACAAAGTAGAGATCGACAAGTACAGTTTGAATCTGCAAGACATTATTATACTCGGTCGTTATGTCCATCAAGTTATAAAAAATTGTAAAGCAAGACTAAGTGTCGCCACAATACCTCCATTTTTTAAGTTGGACAAAGAAATTTACTCTCATAACGCAGTGTCATTAATTGCTTGGTAATTCTATAATGATGTCGACCAGTGACACGTGCTAACAAATTGCGGCACTATAACCATTGTTGGGATTTGGGATGTGAAATGACTGGACAGCAAACTAACATGACGTTGGTCTGTGAACATCTGGCGGACACTAATATGCAGTGCTAATAAATTTCTCCCTAAATACTTTTTTGACTGTCCCATCCCCACCCATTTCCCCCTGATCCCATCCGTTTTCCCCTCTCTCCTGCCTGCTCATGTCAATTCACACCATCAGCATAGGCCTAATACGTAAAGACAGACAGAAAGACACAATAAGAGATACATTCTTATAAACCATTGACGGTACTCCGGGGGAGGGGGTGGTGGTGTCGTGTTTGTTTGCTAAAAAGGTGTAGCATGTTTGAACTGACGCAACAGTGACCAGTTGTCATTCGTCGCCCATGCCGAATTACCACTACGGCAGAGACCAGGGGACAACGCCGAACGAGCAGTGATCCTTGACTGATCGACCATTCGTCGTTCTCCCTTACACTGAGCTTTGGCTCGGAGCTCGCCAGTGTACGGGAAAACGACGAACTCTCAATTACGCAACAACGGATTAACTTATGACAAAAATTTTTACACCATCAGATGCAGAATTTAAAAATCTCTAGCTCTAGAAATTAAATTTGATGCAAAAAATGCTTCTTCCCAGTCCTCGCAGAATGAAAGATGACGGAAACCGTTCGGTGAAATAGAGTTCAAGTTTATTTTCCCGAACGTTCGGAGAAATAGTCACTTCGAATTATATATATGTTCCGTAACGAGCGACCATGATGAAACAGAGAATAGAGGGTTAGTTAAAGGGTTTGGGTCAGGATGTGGGGAAGGGGTTGGGGTAGGATAGGGGTAAGGTAGGGGAGGGTTAAGGATAGATCTAGGTCTCTTCTTTATTGTATTTGTTGGGGTGCTCGCTTGTTACGGAAGTCCTTCCATGTTCTCCATAGTTTGGTCATCTTCAGACTAATGTCATTTCGTCACACTAGACCTAGTCTAGGTCTACTCACACGCAGTCGAGTCACACGGTCATCTCGCCACACAACAGTTATGTACGATGAAATGACTTCCCTTATAAATTTTTCCAAAATTGTTATGAAGGAGGCATACAGTTTTGGAGAAGCAGCGCCAGCAGTCTTTATTCTAAATCATCAATTCAAGCATCACCATGTAGCCTATTCGTTGGGGTGTGCCCTCTTGTTTTTACGTAACGGTCAGACCATGACAAACATTACATTCTGTTTGTAGAGGCAGAGGGATTTGACTAACAATCTTGATTTAGAAAGTCAATCAAGAGTCGGATCCCAAATTGTAATTTTAATGCCGTGCGCTGCCACTTGAAAAATTGTCTTCAGATGTCAAGTTCTATACTTAGTAGTAGGCCTAAAGGATAATATCATCTTGACTATTTTTAACTTGATCAATATATTTTAAACAGATTCGGAGGACTAAAAGTAGAAGGAAGTTTATTTAATTAGGGGATGCGAAAGTAACATGCTCTGCTATTATAATAGATGAAGATGTCATGTCATTCTGGCAAAAGAGGGTGGAAGTGACACAGAGCAAAAGTGTTGGGGGGGGGGGGGGGGTAGCAGAAGTGCATTTGGACATTGTAATTTTGTATCTTTAGATTTAGATATAAACAAAGCCCAAAGTCTAGCAAGGTAGGATTACTTTACTGTTATTGCAGGAATAGGTAGTTTAATACTAGTTGCTTCTAATTAGTCTTAGCTACACCCCTGCCAACTCTAATTGGTCTTGTTGAAACTCTCTCTTACTTTCTCTATAGTTGTAGTAAAAGCCAAGTTAGCATATATATATTTATCCTAAAATTTAAGTGTTGTTAGTCTAATGAGGTAATTTTGTATACATATTTTTTTAGATATCAAGCAACTCTTATAATTGTCATTTGCTGTAAATTGTCATTGCCAAATAATTGTTTGTTATAGAATAGAATTACAGGCCTATATGGTTTTGATCAGTAGGTCTACTATGCAATTTGAAATAGGCATAGAACTTGATCTGGTTTATCTATTCTTTTTTTTTGTTCCAGGTTTGAGATGGCATCAAGAAAGAGACGACAGTCTTTAGTGCCTTCAGGTATAGTCAGCATTTTTTGCTGTTAGTCCTGAAACTGTAAGCATGTTTTTATACAGCATTTCACTTTCTTTCCTGAATCCTGTTTTCTATACCCAGTGCCCATTGCAGAAAGTTTCGTCAAATCCCTATTTGGTAGGCTATGGTTTGGTACATTTGAGGGCTGGCTCTGGCCTTTGTACACATTCAAATTGACCACTGCTTTGTTTCATCAAATTTGACCCCCGTAAGTACATTAGGGCCTTCTATCACATTCCAGTGCAAATGAAAAATCTGATCCTGCAATACTTAGTACAGTAACCTTCTGATTAATTGTTTTCATCAAATGTTGTCCTTGAATATGAAAATTATAATATCATGTTTGATTTAAGAGGATTACATTTTTTTCGCTATTGCTTGCGGATTGTGCACCAGGGAAGAAGATGATGGAGTACTGGTACAATAATGGCCTCAGATACTGAGACCACAGCGCCCAGGGTTGAAGTAAAAGGATAGGGCATCACTTACACTGACTGTCAGAGTGAATTAGTGCTATGTACATTATGTTTTATATCTTTGTATTTTTTAAATAATGAGAGTCGGCAGATCCTTAAGCATTATATGTTCATGCTCCTCAAGCAAATCTCTAAGTTAACTATTATAAAAAGTTTTTAGTTTTCTTTTGTTTTGTGCATCCAGTTGCTCTATAAGAAATAAATTTGATTCTTTCATGCCTTACATTTCTGGCTTTGATTTTTTAAAATGCATTGCAGATCTGAGCAACATTGCTAAGAAGTCCAAGGCCAAAGATGATTCCTACAGGAAAGACAATCTTTTGTGTGAATTGACGAAAAAGGCTGGACTTACTTTGAAAAATGGAAAGCAACCCAGTGTTTTAGGTAAGGGGGTGGAAATAAACTTTTCAAAGAACAATCACTTTTAACTTTTTATAGTTTCTTTAGCTTTAATAAAAAATATATGTAGATGAAAAAGATTGTTACAAGACAGTGTCTTTGTTTTTGTTTCAAAGGTATCACAGCCATGATGTTTTTGCAATAGTTTACTTGACCTGTTACAAAGATCACACTTGGTCTTACTTTCTAGGTGTAATTGGTGAGTTCTCATGAATTTGAAAAATCTCCAACTTTTACTCTGAGTATTATATTTAAACTCATGCTTCTTGTTTAAGTTAATAATTTTTCAAGTTTGTGGGTTTGCTGTGCTCTTCAAGAATAGTTAATCTGTGTGTTTTATTATCTAAATGTACAAACGTAAATTAAATATTGTGAACATTTCAGATGTGTCAAAAGCAGTCTTTCAAAAACAATTAGGGCTGTTGCTGAAGAATCACAGTGGTGATCTGTTGGAGGTAAGCAAAAGTTTTTTGTTGCTTTAGTTTATGAATCCTGTTAATAATAATTTTTGTGTTTTTATTTTTTCTTTCACGATGCATGTGTTTTTGAGTTGACAATAGTCTGTAGGAGCCAACATGTTTGATGCATAAGACTAATTTATCCTTTAGCTTCTTTTTCAGTGTTGTCAACAATTGCTCAGCTTTATCTCTTGGCATGTTTGTGACATAATATATATATATATATATACTGTTCTGTCAGCTCTCAAATACCTTTAAGATCAAGATGTACTATAATTTAACTATTGTGCTAACATTTTGTTTTTGTTTTCGTTCACAGGACGTGGAAACATTTTTGGAAGAATTTGGTGAATACATTGATGATCAGCAAAGGTAACTCACCAAAATTTGAATTCAAAACGGGAAAGAATTGAAGTTTGAAAGTCATTGCAACTGTTAATAATTTCAGGAGGATTATTCCTCCTTACACTGCCCTATAATCATCCAGTTAGACATTTCGTAATTTAGCTGATGAAAAGCAAGGCGATGCAAAGGACTAGTTGAACAACTGTATGATTATAATTATTGAGCCTGCAAGCAATACGATCAGAGCATACTTTCTGATGAGTTCCTGTAACATGCAGTCACAATTATTGCGAGTACAACAAGCCTGTTGTCAGAAGATGTAGTTTACTGTCTTGAAGTAAAAAAACATACTTTTTCCAGAATCAAAGGGCCAAGCTTCAGAATGCCCCAAAAGAACTGATTACAAGCTATCCTTTACTTATAAGCATTAGCTTAAATTTTGACTTGTTGATTTGTTATTCGTTATGTAACTTTCATGTTTTATTATTCAGATTTCACAAGAGCCTCCAGCCTTGCACAGTATCTGATGATTCAGAAAGGTAAATTTTGAGAGGATGTCATAAACTTTTATTCTAATTTTCTTAGATATGCCATTTACGCTATAACCACAGACAAATAATAGTTGAGAATGAATATTTTGCCTCTTTTAATCTTTCTACTCATACTTTTAATGACAATTCTAGAATACTGTTGCTGTTTTTTAAAACATCTCTTACGGTTTGCAATGAGTTTCAGCGATCCCCATTCTATCTGGAAAACCCCCCATTAAGGCTCAATAGTAAAAGGTACTGTATATATACTCGCCCATTACATGACATGACCTTGCATATAATACAGGGGTAGGCTCTGACTCCAAAGCAGCCCATTTTGAAAGGTGACATGTTTATTACTCAGTGAATTTCTCACATGCTGGAGGGGGAGTCAACATGCATGAAACAATGTACAAATAGGCAGCAAATATGTCTTACCTTTAAGATGCTTATTCACAATGTTGTCAGTTGCATGATTTTCTCCAAGAATGAGACAAATCAAAATCAACATTTCATATCAGCATTCATTAGGAATAAAATTGAATTTTGTTTTGGTTTTTAAGTTTTTTGTACCCCCCAGAGCGGTGCCACTGACTGTAGTGTCTTTAGGCCATTCCCAAAGGGGGGGACATTTCTCGTTCAAGCATAGTAGAATTGTAAATGGGCTGACTCATATCACGCTCATAACTGTGCCTGATCTACAACAGGGAACTGCTGCTTTTTCTTTCCTGATCCTTACTATTGTCATTTTCCTCTACCTCTTTTGTATGTTTGTCACTCTCTTGTGACCTGCTATTTCCGGGGTGCCTTGACAGTCGAAGAGGACCTTGTGATGTTGAAGCTAGAGGGGTGAGCAGTCTAAGTCTTATTCCCTGTAAAGACTTCTCTGTTGACACCCACCCCTTGGCGCTCATATGACCTTATGCAGTTGCGAGCGCCGTAAAACCCTCTACTATTTAAAAAAAAAAGTTTTTTGTTTTATGAGTTTCAATGTTAGTTTTGAGCAAATCATAATTGAACAAATTTTCTAGTTTATAAGTTAATATATGTCATAAGTAATGGTTAATTTTTTAAAAGTAATATTTGGTGGGATTTTAAAAAATACCTTCCATTTCTTTGTGAGCAGTACTTCAGGCACTGTGGCTGATTCTGTTCTGAGGCTTTTCCTGGGAGTTGATGTCATACAGGTGTGTCTTGTTTTCTTGATTTCTTAGTGGAAACTCTTGTGGATAGTTTTCAAATACAAATGTTTGCATCTTTACTTTTTTAAATAGAGACTTAAAAAAAAAAAAATATCTAAGAGAAAGGTGTAATTTTCACACCTGTGTAGTGACCGAGAGTCTCCATAAACCTTAAGTATCAGTTTTCATTGTTTCATATGGTTTGAGTTGTCTCTGTACCTTGTTGTACTAGTGAGAAAGAGGGGACTTTGAAAAATGGAGGGAATTTTGTATTACAGTCCTTTATTTTATTGAACTATATTTTTTTTCCTGAATAATGTGTAATATTTTCAATTGTTTTTTCTTTTACTTTATACAAATTACAACACAACCCTCTCCCCCGCGCCCCGTTATTTTGGGCGTCTTGGAAATTGCTACAAGAAGAAGGGGGGGGGGGGGGGGGGTTGTATATAAATTTATGTTTATTTTTGTATCAGAATCTGTCTTTTGATTTGCTGACTAGAGATTTTTTTTTTTTTTTCACTCTTAAACAGTCACCACTGATGACCCTGCTACTGGAGAAGCTGCAAGAGTTTGTCGGTGAAGAGGAGGAGTAAGTTGTTGTGTGGTTGTGATGGTCTAGCGCTTTGTGTCCTATGGTTGTATGGTTAAGGTTGTGGAATTCTGTGAACTCGAAAAAAAATGTCACGTGGTCTGCTCCTTCTACTTCTTTTTCTGGGTTTGTGTTGTTCTGTTATACTTCCTGACAAAAAGTGTTTTATGTTCTCATCCAACCACAAAGCATAGGGATGTCTGCGACATTCATTATTTGAGAAATAAAATGTTTTGTTAAACCACTGCAGTTTTACACATTTTTGACAAGTACGAAAAGGACCAATAAGTTTGGATTTTGTTCCCTACATTTTATGGAGACACTTCGTCATCAATGAGAAGCCTACATTCACACAATATTTTTGGTCACATCCCTTATTGGTGTAAGTTAAAACATATTTCTTTGATATTTCATTTTCATTTTTATGACTTTAACCTGTTTCTTACTTAAACTTCAAATGCAACATTATTGTCGAGGGTCTCAGTGGAAGGAAAATTAATATCAGAGAAAGTGAATTTATGTTTTGTCTGTGAAAAGACAAGATGGTGCTGCAGGAATGCGTCACAGGTGTTTTTTGGTATTCTCTTCTACCAGCATTTTGGGGTAAGAATTGGCCTAATTATCCATGTTTGCGATGACCAAAACATAAAAGATAACCTGATGCATCACAAATGCTGTCATCTGTATGAACACGAAAAGTTTGATTTGGTAAACTGATGATAATGGTCTGTTTAAATTCCCTTTCATTTCAGCTTCATTTTCCACCTTGGTCAGAAGGTCTACGTCCCAAGATTGGTTTTAAGCCAGTTTCGTTTTCTGGACAGAATTGTAGATGGAAAGGTGGGTGTGTGAAAAAATCTGATTTGTGTGAAGGTCTTTGTGTAGCGATTGTCAGAAAATGCATGGCATACTTTTGCTCTTGACTTTTTAGTGCATGTAAATATTTTTAAATAGTGGCTTAAGTATTTTTGTTGGTTATTCTGGCTATTTGAATTTGTTAGGAAAAAGGAATTCCTTTCTTTTTATCTGTCTGTCTCTCCTTAACTCTTCCTTTCTTGCTTGCCTTTCGGTTCTCTCACTCTCTCTCTCTCTCTCTCTCTCTCTCTCTCTCTCTCTCTCTCTCTCTCTCTCTCTCTCTCTCTCTCTCTCTCTCTCTCTCTCTCTCTCTCTCCCTCCCCCCCCCCCCCTCCCTTTTTTTTTTTTTTTTTTTCACCTCCCTCTTTCCCCCTCCGGCCCTCCCCCCTCTCTCTCTCTATCTCTCTCTCTCTCTCTCTCTCTGTCTCCCCCCCCCCCCCCCCTTCTCTCTTTCTCGCTCAATTTTTTTAATGTCATTCTTTTCATTCTGTGTCATTTGATTGTCATCCATCACATTCCACCATGTCCAGGAACTGACCAAAAAACTGATGGAGATTTTGGGTAGCTCCTGCCTGGACGTACAGAAGGAAATCATTGCCTGTCTGCCAGACATTGTCGAAGACTCGGAGCATGGGGAGGTGGCAAAAAAACTCAGGTGAGTAGCCTTTGCTTTCTTTTTTTTTAAAAATGAGTTCAATGCTATATTAGGAACAAATAGATTAGTACCCTTCCCTTTATCATTTTTAAATGAGGCTAATACTTCACTAGGAACAAATACACAGTTACAAAGTAAAGTTTCAATTTAAGGAGTTTAAAATAGCAATTTTTGTCTTAGTCTAGAAGCACAGTTGACCTGTCAGCACTGAAGAAAGCTAGAGAGAAAATAATAGGTACAAAAGAAATGTGCAAGCTAGAGAGTTTGTAGCTTATCAGTGTTTCTCTGTTATATAGAGAAATTAAGTCTCCTTTTGGTGGGGTTTGTGACAACTCATATCTCGTAGCTCTTTTGAGTTTCACAAGAAATATTATATGGGTATCGATAGAATGTTAAAGAAAAGAGGACATTTTTTTTTCATCCTTGTAGAGAGATGTGATTCATGATTATTTGGCAGTACCATAATTAACTAATCACAAGATATAATATACAATGGTAGGCCATAGACCTTGAATTTTGTGTGCTATTGCAGGTAAAAGTCTGCGCAAGTGTATTTTTTTTTACTTTGCTCTTTGTACTCAAAGTTATTGCATGGAACACACACACATGCACACACACCACACCACACCACACACACCACACCACACACACCACACCGCACCACACACACACCACACCACACACACCACACCACACACACATATACAAGCACTCACACACACATACACACATACGTAAACACATACACCCCCTCATTCTGGTTCTTGATTCACCATAATTGCACATTCCCACACTCACACTCAACATGATTTCATGCATTTAACGCATACTCAGTGAATGCATGTACACACAGACATTAAAACATCGCTCCCCCCATGTCTTTGCATGCATTGGCGATCAGACCAAGATGTTTCCTGTTCCTGTAAGACACAGCACCAACCCCACGGTGATGCCTGAATCTGCGCTCTCTTGTTCAAGTCAGTTCCAAATGGGGGGCCCAAGTTTACTTTAAAGTGTCTGAGGACGCTACTGAGGATCAAATGGACAGACAGACAGTATCACCAACGAGGAAGTATTAATTAAGAAGAACGAGATAGAGCCCAGTCAGAGATGAAGTGGGAAGAAGACGTTGGCGATGGATTGGACACACTTTCAGGAAGTCAAGCAGCTGCATAACAAGGAAAGTGTTAGATTGGAACCCACAGGGTAAAAGATCAAGGGGAAGACCACGTGGAACGTGGAGAAGAATCACGGAAATGGATGTACAGGAAAGTGGGAAGACATGGAGTGACATCCAGCGACTAGCCCAGGATAGGGAAAGGTGGAAAGTGTTTGTTCGTGGCCTATGTCCTGATCCAGGGTGAGAAAGGCAATGATAATGATGACGTTTACTTTTACCCATTTTTGTCTTCCTCTCCAGGGATGAGCTGATGAGTAACAAAGAGCTGACCTGCCCTGTGATCGATGCTCTCACCTATCTCAGCATTCCCCAGGATCTGGTCACAGAGGTTAGGACTCGTTTCTCCTTAAGACAAAGTTTTCATATATATGTCACAACGCAGTGGAATCAGGCGCCCGTCAATTTGGGGGCATATGGAGTTATTGGTATCATCTTAAAGCCAGTCCGTTTTCCTTGCTTTTAATAAAAAAGAGTATCTTTTTATCTTGGATACAAGTCGAGATATTTGCGAAAGGAGGAGGTGGGGGTCACCTGGTTTCAGAGGTAAAATTGGTGAGAAAATGGCCGCCATAGATTACTTATTTCCTTGGCTTGAGAGTCAGTGGAAACGGAAAATTTACATTTTTGTGCCTTTAATCAGCGTTTTCCAGTAAAATCCTCTCAGAAATGTGTCCTTCAATGGGCATGAAGGGTGTTAGCCAAAGAACAAAAATTTTGATAAAATTCACAAACCTACTGAAAAATGCCAGTTTCTTTACTTTGATTATTTTGACGTGCGCCTGATTTCACCACGCTACCTCACATATAAATGTCTTGCGCTGGATTCAATGATTCTTGTATTATATGTTTCTCTGCGATGAGATGAGCAGTATTCTAACTTTCAAGGCTTTGACAGTTTGAATCAATGTCATTCTAAAAGTAAAGTGACTTCAGTTGATTCTGATCCCTATTTGACATAGACAATACATTGCTTGTCCTTCTTTAAGACTTCTTATGTTTGTTTTGTCAAAGATTTGAAAGGGATTTTTCTTTCTTTTTTAAAAAAGTGGTTACGTTTTTATGACAGATGATGTGTATGTAAATTCTGGTCTTTACGATAATTAAGTTATTTTGTTCGATTAAAGTTTAGGAATTGTCGTTGTAATGACTGAGTTCTAACCTATATTGAGTTGTACATTTTTGTATCATAGATATCCTTTTTCTTTCATGTTTGATCTCGATGCCTCCTCAGATCCGTAACTCTGTCCTAGACATGCTCAAATCTTTCAGCATCTGTGATCTACCGATTGTTGTCAACTTCCTCCTAGAGTCCATTACTGCGAACGATGCACAAGAAGTAAGTGACTCATAGATCTACGTAAGCAATTGAAGTTTATTTTTTTTCCATGATGAAACTCAAAGTTTTCTGTAGTGTTCCCAAATATCAAAAGTGCAGAAAGTGACTGTATGTAGAAAGTACAAAAGTGCGATGTCTTCCCTTACAGTAATAGATTTTAAAACTTTTATCTGAAAGTAAAATAAGTGCTCAATATTATTTATTCTGTCCTTTATATAGTTGGAGAGTGTATAGTTTAAAATACTGCATGAATTTCATGACATTTTAAATAAGGTAAAGCTAGTGAAGTTTAAAGTTTTACTTTTCATTATTTGGAATATTTTTATGAATATCCTGTTCTTGCTGTCTTTACATTTTCTGATGTTATCCATCTTTAAAGTAAGTTGAGTGGTTTGAACGGTAATAGTAAAAGGGTGAAAGACACATTTCTATTATCGTTACATCAAACAGTAGTGTTTGTGTGCTATTGGTCTACAGCTTGTGTCCTGTGATGATGGTGTGTGTGGCCAGTTAGGCCAATGAGTATTAGAAAATGTAGATTGCAATAATTGTAATCTTCTATTCTCTATTGCAATATTTTGTGTCTCAGAAGGTGTTGCACGTGTGCCTTTGCTGCTACATCTTTTTCCTTGAGACTGGCTTTGGCATCCAATTTCTATTGACTGTAATCTTCTTCCATCTGTTTCCAAGTTCTAAAGCTGAAGCTGAGGTCTTTGTTGAGGTCATGATCTTTTAGTTGAGTGTCCTTTTTGTGTTCTGATTTCCATTTTAACTTTGTTTTCTAGGTTGTCACAGAGATCCGGTCAAAAGTTGATTTCACCTCATCGTCTAAGCTGCCTGCGGAGGAGTTGGAGAGGTGAAGTCTTGTAGCAATTGTCAGTGCTGGTTGACTGCCAGCTTGAAGTGCTTTTTCATCAAAGTTTTTTCTTTTATTCTTTGTGCTGTTTTGTTTTGTAAAAAAAGAAATGGAAATTTGACTTTTTTATGTTGTTTGTGTCTGATGAATGAATTGTCAATAGTTCCTGGCTTATTTTTTAATATGGACATTGCTTAAAATGTCAGGAAGAACATTTGGTACCCAAGTAATTATTTGAGTTAGTCGTTTTCTTTAAAATTCTTATGTTATTGAACATGTACTTCCTTTATTTACAATGATTCCTTGCCCATCTATTAAGTTCTTTCTTAAAATTTCAGCGGTTTCATAAATTTGAGAAAATATCATTTTGAATGGATCATAATAGCCTAGCATTGTGTCAGAAACATCGAATGTCAGCTCAAACTGAATTATAATTTCTGTGTCTGACCTAGATCTATAGTGCTGTATTGTTTGAAAAATTATTTGATGTAGAAGCTTGCAATGGAAGATTGGCTCTGCGTCTCATCCGTTTTTTTTTGGTGTACAGCAATTGTGTAGGGAACATAAAACATGCTGACTCTAATGTATTTCTTCCTCAGAGTGAGAACAAACATTAAACTCACTGTGGATGCCTTGAAAGGCCGGATGCAGTTCCAGAGATTTGTAGCAGAGGCCTGGATCAAGGTAGGGGGGCGCTTCATCTGTCTTTATGCTGTGGGCTTCAAGGAACTTAAACGTTTGCTTGTGGGAGGTTGTTGGGTGCTGGGGTGTCGTTTTCTCCTCTGTTTTCCTATTTTTATGTCGCAATTGTTTGTGACTGGGACTATGTGATTTATAATTTATAGTTGTTGTACAACGATTGCTGTTCGATGAGTTGTCTCGTAGGTGTGTCTACGAACAGGTAACATTGGGGAAGTAAAACTGTTTACAAGACGATTACTACAGATTCAGTTATTGTTATACAAAACATTCTGCACAGTTGTCCATTTCTCTTGAAGGATTGATTCAAGGACTCTGAGAGTTGAATGAAAAAACTAGTGCTCAAAGCAAATTAAGCTTGAAGCATTGATCGAAGTAATCTGTAAATTAATTTTTTTAAAACTTCTAAGCTTGATGGAGGGAGCATTTTCACCATGATTATCGTCATCATCATAATTATTTTCATTGTTGTTATTAGTATTAGTATTATTAGTATTATCATTGTTGTTATGATGATGATGATTATTATTATTATTATTTTCATTTTTTAGAACTTGCTCTAAAGTGGACTTGTATCTCATTGCCACAGGTCATTGGTGCTGCTAAGGACTCCAAAGTGCTGGACGTGTTTGTCTTGTTGATTCTGCACTGGATGAACCACAAGAAGGCCGTGGAGAGCTTGGTCAGGAACAGAATCAGGGCCGGACTTTTCACAGACTTTCTGCTCACCAAGGCCTTTTCCTCTTACTCCCAGGTGATGGCAGAAAAAAATATGCACCTCTTGTATTTACTCCAGTTGGGAAATTGATGTGGCAATAGCACGTCATAAAAATCCATACATTCAATAATTCTCAAGTAAAATCATATTATGTAACACAAAGGCTGTTGGAAAAGAAAGATGAAAATAGTCATATCTTCATATCTGAAAAAAGCAAAAGCCTTTTCACAGTCTGTGAATATGACAAAGCTATTCCTCACAAAGAATCTGACTGAAGACTAGATCCAAAGGTCCATGATCGCCCACGCCAGTCGGCAAGGCACCAGATGATGATGATCCCTGTTTGCCCTGACGGATGACTGTGAAGCAGCCCACTTTCTTTCTGGTGAAGGGGGATCTAAGAAGTTTACAACATTACTAAGAAGATGTGCTTGACTTTTTGTGAACCCCCTTTGTAGACTAGGGTTGCATGTTATAACTGGGGTAGACATAATTTTAGCTAGAGGTGTGGGTTCTTCAAGTTTCTCTTGTTTGTTTTCATGTGAGCATAGTTAAGGAAATCAAGTACTTGTGTCGTGCCTTTGACTTTCTAAGTAAAGGAATAGCAGATGACGTTATTCCCATTAGCTTTCTGTGGTTGGTTTAGTGTATGTATGAAACCTCCGATAGCTTTTACCTTCAAAGCGAAGGCATGGGGAAGGTAATATTATATTCTGATTACCATATTGTCTCTGGTCTAGTGTGTAATGCTTTTTTTTTTCAAATGTCTGCAGAGAGGGAAAGCAAAGGCTTTTGGCTTTATGTGGGAAAAAAGAGCATGTATTTGTCAGCCAAAGTGCTAGGTCAAGCCAAAAGTTAAGATTAAGATTCAATGGTCGTTGGATTTTTTCGCACTTATATTTACGTTTGTATGTCTTTTGTTCTATTCCCAGGTGGTGAGGGAGTACTTTCCCTCTCTCCAGTGCCTGGCCCAGGCTTTGCTTCGCTCACCCGAGATAGTCATTGGTTACTGTGGCAGCTCCGTCTACTCGTTGGCTTTCACCACGTTTGATGCATACTGTCAACAGGTAGGGGTGACATATGACAAGAAAATTCCAGGAATTTCATCTTCAATTTCCCCTGTCAAGAAAACACCTTGAAAGTAAATGAAATATGGAAAAAAAAAGAAGAGAAAAATGGGAATTTAAATTTGGTGATTAAAAATAATCTCCCACTGGAAATTCTCTTTAGGGCTGAGGCCTTTTTATGATCATATCGCTGATTGATTGGTCAGTATGATTTAGTTCAACCTAAGTATTTCTCTTCATAAATCCTTCCTCTCTCTGTTATTGTTTTTAAAAAATAACATTGAAAATGGGTACAAAATCCATGAAACTGCCAGGAAATTTTTTCACTTTGATGAGTGGGAACCTTGTGAGAGTAGCAAAGTACGGTTTTAAGAAAATAAAGGCATGGGGTATAAGATAGAGTGACTTGCTGATGTTAGATTTTGCTCAATGCCCATTGTCATGTCTTTGTTTTGGGCGGAAGCAACTCATTCATCATTCTGGTTTACTTGTAATACTTCTTAAGTTTTGTTTGATGGATATTTGGAGGGTACCAATGGTATGTCCTACTTCTTTTCTTTCCCTTTCTGTTTGTTTTATTTCCTCGCTGCTCTAGATAGCCGTTTATTGTGTCGATATATGCTTCTCTTTCCTCAAACAAAGGGGGTTTTGTTTTTGCTAATGTTCGTCTGTCCTTCTAGGAAATTGTTGGATCTCTGGTCACACACATTGGCAGCGGCTTTACCGGGGAGATTGAAGCGGCATTGGACATTCTGGCAGATCTGGTGAAGAAACAGCCCCAGGTCATGGCCCGGTATGCTGTGTTTGTCAAGGTGAGTGACCGAACGACTGATTATTAAAAACTCCTGTTTCTTCCTCTTAAGTCTCACAGATTTCAAATCGTTTCCAAAATTATAAGTTGGATTCGAGTTGTCTTTTGATTGTTGCTGCAATGTTGTTGATACAGAAGTTGAAGTTGGTAGCCGAAGGGCATGAGCTGGAGGATTGCTGGATTTACATCAATGACAATACAAAAAATCAACAATAATGCCTAACAATAGTAATGTTTATCTAATGTTACATTTGTGTTTTGTAGGTGTGAAATTCATCCACGTTTTGCAGTAAAGAGTGAATGGGTGTGCCAAAAGTAAAAGGAGGAGAAAAAATAAAAACTACCTGGTAGTGGAAGTGGGGTTGAGAAGACATGGGGGAGTTTGGGGGGGGGGGGGGGGGTGAGAAGAAGGGGTGTCTGTTTGTCTATACTGCAGGGATACTTGCTATTATTGTTGTTCTCAGCAAGGGCCAATTTCTTATTTTGAGATCAGCAACTTCTCATTGTAAATTGCTAACCCTACAGGGCGTCTTGGACTACCTTGACCACAACAACTTGACCGTTGGTCAGATCCGCAAGCTGTATCTGCTCCTGGCACAGCTGGCCTATCAGAACAAAGCTGCTGACGGCAGTTACTTACAGGTACGTCACTCAGTGGGATTATTTGGGACGCTGTCTTGTCTTTGAAAAGACTTTTTATTATTATAATGATTATTTTGTTAACATGTATTTTTTTGGTTAAACCTTTGTCTCTGTATATTGATTAAGCGACCCTGAGTGATTCAAGTGTGCCACTGGTAGGTCCTACTTCTTTTCTCTCCCTCAGTTGTGTCAACCTGTCAGTCTTGCCTTTTCCTTACTGTTATTGTGTGTTGATGTGCTTCTGTTTTCTCAAACTAAACTAACCGAACTGAAAGCAAAAGCTCTGATGGCCTAGTATTTGAGTACAATTACTTACTTACCCACAGAATAAGTTTGTACACATGTGGGTTTGGGTTTGTGAAGTTACTGCCAGGTGTGGTGATCGGAGTAGATGTGTGATGTAGTTTTACTTGGATAGATATTTAATTGGCCAAATTTTGCCCTACAGATGGTATTTCGTTTTTAAATCTATTAACCATACGCTGACAGCATTTTGTCCGTAATGCATAGCTTATTGTAAACATTGGGATTTGTTTAGGTGCTATTGATTACTTAGAGAGAGAGCACTCAACTAAGATTGTGTCTAGTTATTCAGAAGTTTACTGGAATACTCTTAAGTCTTTCTGTTCCTTTTGTGGGCATTTTTGCTGTACTTTTTGTCTTTGACATTAATTTTGTTTTGCATGTAATGTAACAACAGAAAATAAGTATGTTCGTAACTCTCCATTATAACTTACTTTTGTTGTCAGGACGATCTGCACATTATCATTCGAAAGCAACTGACAAGCACCAACTCCAGGTAAGCTTGGCCTAATAATTTCTTATGATCTACTTAGGTAAGACAAACAGTAACAAATCCATTTTTTTCCTTTGTGTAGTTCACTTTCAGTAGATATTGATGTATTATTATATGAAATTATTTAGTAATTTTTATTGTCATAGCATGTATGTCTCCGTGAAAAAAATCTTTTGATAGGGATAAGAAAAGTGGTCTTTCTGTTCTCTTTTGCTGCAATGTATTCATGTTTTTGTTCTTGATTTTTTTTCTTCTTGTCACTGTTTCCCGTTCCTGCCACTTTGGCATGTTCTGGCTTGTACAATGTTATAGATGTTAGATGTTAATGATTTACATTTACTTCTGGCATGATTTTCAGATTTTATCTCTTTCGTTTTTGAGGGGAAATGAAATTCACTATTTCTTACCTGGACCTGTGTTTCCTGTGACCAGGTACAAGAGGATGGGCGTGACGGGCGCTATCTCCGTGGTGCACGCCCTGGCATCTGACACAAGCGACTCGGAGGAAGAGCTCCCGGCTGATTCATACAAACAGGTCAGATTTGGTCATTCTCATGGACAGTTGGACATTTTCTTTCTGTTTCTGAACTTCAAAACATAAAAAAAATAATACAGGCTAATGTTAAAATAGAAGCAACAGAAATGTGTTTTCTCAGACGACTGCTGAGAATATCTTGGAAAGACAAGAAATCAAATGGGGTTGTACTTGCAGAAGCCCATGTGGGCCACTCAGTGATAAAATCCACTTTCTGGGACTCTTGAAGAGACCTAGAAGCCTTGAACATCAAGCTCTCACTGGTAAAATCGAAGGCAAATGAGGCAGGGGTGGACTGAGAGCAACCCACTTGGAGAGCCCAAAGAGATGGATGATGTGGAAGGATCAAGATAATGTAGTTGGTTTTTTTTTTTTTAGATCTTTAAGCATAGGAATGAATAGAGAACCATGATTGTTGATGTCTGTCGCTGATGTGGCTCTTAACGATGGTGATTAAGTGTACCATTGCCTGCATTTGTTTTGGACCTTCAGCACTTTGTCAAGCTCGTTTTGTTTTGGTTCACCGTCACTCCATATATATCCCCCATATATAAAGGAATGCAAAGAATCGTGTCTCTGTACAGGTGATTGAGCTACTGGAGCTGGTACACAAGTCTGGCCGCCGGGATCCCGAGATGACCGCTCTGTTCCTGGACAGTCTGGCAACCACGATTGACACGGAAAATCTTTACAGTAACGTGGAGAACTGGGTCGCGGGAAACATGGTTGAAGGTTTGCGCTGGGGGACTGAAATTTGGAATTATGGCAAAGAAATGTTAACCTCAAAGACAAAATATCTTTAAACTTAAGCTGAGTTCAGCCTTCACCTTAGACTAATCATATTCACAATCAAATAATTTGTGTACCTAGTTACTTGGAAGGGGCTGTCAGATTTCTCTTATTTTGTGTTGCATGATTATCAGTAGTTGATGAACTTTTTGTGAGTTTGTTGTGTCAAGTTTTGTCAACCGTTACAGACAGAGCTCAGTTCTGTTTTTCCTTTTCCCTTTTTTTCTCTTTGAAGTTGCAAAATTTGTTTCTGGGGTGACACTTGCTGCAGCACTATCTTGTACTGTGTTAGTTATTTTTAAAAATTTTGTATATCTTTGGGTTTCAGCGTTTGAGGAGAACTATGTCATGGATGTGGATGGGGACGATACAGAGTTGAAGGAAGCCTGCCCCGTTACCATAGAGAGTACATATGACCTGAACAAGAGCGAAAGCACCATCGTCATCAATCTGGTAGATCTGGCTCAGAACCTTTACGACAGAACAGCCCGACGCCACTTGGAGTGAGTTCTTCTTTGCCTTGTTACATTCTGACTGCTATGAATTAGTGTTTGAAGAAATTATTTTTTCTTGACATTGGTGTGGAATTGAAGACCTGTCTCTTTGTGAGCCAAACCAGTTGGATGTTGAGTGTATATAAATGTTTGTGTTTGTGTTGTTATGTTATTGCACTGTTGTGGTGCTATGTGTTCATACTTATTTTTCGGGAGCTTGTGGAAGTACGATGACAATTTTTACCTGAAGAGGATGTGCAAAGTGTAAATTTTCTGCTCTGATCTCGTCTGTTTCAGAGCGGATGTGAGTGCTTTATGCCTGTGTCCACTGTTCCATCTGGTCGCGGTGTGTACCAAAAAACAGTCAAAGGGTGACCTCGAAGCGATAGATGCCCTGCTCGGCTGCCCGGTGTACATGGTGGAGAAGACTGTCAGTGAGAAAATGGCCACCATGAGCAGGAAAGAGAAAGACATTGTCTGTGCCAGCGTCTTCTTGTGCATCAACTGGTTCAGAGAAATCATCAACAGTTTCGCTTCCATGAGCAGTGCAGAGGTTAAGGGAAAAGTAGGTCTCTCTTTTAAAAAAACAAACAAATTTTGTTGTTGTTCTGTTATCAAAGTAGGTTGTTTTGGTCCTTGTGTAGAATTTGATTAGAGTTTGGACTACATAGATGGTGTCCTGGGAGACAATACTGGTTAGTTATGATTTTCTTTTGGCCTCGTTTGTGAGGCATCGTGGTGAGATCAGGGGCTCGTCAAAATAATAAAATCGGAGAAACAGGCATTTTTCTTCCAGTTTCACTATTTTTGTCGAATTTTTGTTTTTTGACTCATCAGATTGTATGCTCGTACAAAAACACATTTTCTTGTCAATTCTACTGAAAAACATTGATTAAATAAGCAAATTTTCAGTTTTCAAGGATTCTCGCGCTATAGAAGTTACCAAACTTTAACAGCCATTTCCTCGCTAATTTTACCTCTGAAACCTCCTTCAATGGCAAATACCCCCACTTCTGTTCAAGATAGATGGGTATTTTTTTCATTGAAAGCAAGGCTTTCAGATGCTACCAATAACTCCGCAAGCCCAGAAAACTGACGAGCGCCTGATTCCATCGTGTCGTGACACATATATAGTAAATCTTATTCTGAGAAAGCTAGGGACTTCATCTCACCTTCTCAAGGATCAGCAGTGTGTTGAGAAAATAAAAAGAAAGCTACAATATTGCCACCCATGGTTTTGGTGACTAGGAATCTAGCCTGGTAATTAGCACAAGAGACAAGCATTTTACTTCTCCAAACTAATAATAATGATAATTGTAATAAATGACATTTGCATTGCATTCAACCCTATTTAAAGAGCACAGGCTCTGAGCACTTTACCAAACAAATAGCAACACATAGTACACTGTGTTCTGACTAAAACTCTAGATACATCTCTTAAATCTAAAAAAAACCCCAGAAATTACTTTTGAGCTGAATTTTGAATGGATTAAAAGATTTGATTTCTCTAAAATTACCTGACAATGTGCTCCAGCTTTTACATTTAGAGTATTTGTAGTCATCTGATGTCGATTACAGTTTACGCATCCAATACCGGATGTTTAGTATTCGTTCTTGCCAAGTGCTAGTATCGAATTGTTCATGTTGTTTGGTTCATTTGATGAGATTTGATTGTTTAATATGGATCTTGTACAATGGATCTGCCTGTGGAGGAAGTGCTGGCAGATAGGCATTGTGTTGTAATATTTTTGTTAATAAATATTAATAAATGTTAAATCGACATCAGAATGTTCATAAACCCATACTCTGAATGTCACTAAAATTGTTTTTGTCCTGTATTTGTGTTCAGGTGATGATGAGACTGAAACATGTCTGTGAACTCACAACTATCCTGGAGAAATGTCTTCTCCAACACCCGAGCTTCCAGCCCCCACCGGCCTCATTTGACCTAGAGAACAGCTTTAGTAAGACGGATGCCTCAACCAGCAGTGCCAAGCCTTCTGCTGGTGGTGCGGAGAAAAAGAAAGGAAAGAAAGGAGGCGGGAAAGGCAAAAAAGGAAAAGAGAACTTGGAGGTTTCTGGTGCCAGTCAGCTGGACAAAACCAACACCCAAGGGTCACAGGCTTTGCAAAAGGGATCAGAGGAGGATTCCTCGGATAAAGAAGACCAAACCATGAACATGTCCGTGTACCGCCAATACTTCAGGGAGCTGGACATTAGCGTGTTCACCATTCTCAAAGCAGGACTGGTGACGAGAGCCGCACTGGACTCTGAGATGAATACAAAAGCCACGGAACAGGTACTAAGCTTTGTAATTTGTTTAAATATGCTTTTCACCCCTATTGTTACAATTAAGATTTTTTCTCTCCTCTGATTATATTTAGCGCATACTGAATCTTTATTCATTTTTGTTAATTTGATGTATAAAATATGAATTGTACTTTAAAAACAAAATGTGTACCTTTTGCAAGCAAGATAACCGGCTTGAGACATAAATTCAAACACTTAAAATCCATTTGTTTTAAAAGGGTAAACACTATAGATATAAAATCAATGTCAATATGACATAGATTTAACATTTTTAGGTATTCAGGCCTGGGTGCCACCCATACATTATTGGGATGCTATTGGCACATTTATAAGTTAGGCGTTGGCATCTTTCCTCTTTATTGTCTTCTTTGGGTAATCTACACCTCATCAATAGTAGCATGTAGTAAGATATTATATATATATATATATATATATATATAATATATAAAATATATATGAATATTGACAGCTCCAGATTGGTCTGCCGGAGCTTCAGTTTCTCCTGGAGGACCTCTCTCTCAAGCTGAGTCACGCCCTTGTCGCCACGGCAACCAAGCGGCGGAGCTTTCTGAAGACCAAGAGCAACAAGACAGTGGGCTTCAGCTCCCTGGACACGTACAGCCCAGCGGAGGTGGCCGAACGAGCGGTCAAGCTCCTTCCCTGTCTGCTTGACCATTTGGAGGAGGCTTGCACCTTCTTCCAGACTCTGGTGGCTGAGAATGACGGGGTTGAGGATGGTCCGGGGCGGTTCACCCCCGAAGCTCTGGCTGTCTCGGCGTGCTATCATCTCACTCTGCAGGTTTGTGGAGATCTTTCCTAATATCAGAGGTGCCAATTTTCTGGATAAATCCGGAAATGTGGATTTTTGATCCCAGATGTTTTAGACAAAATATCGCCAGTGTTGCAATCATTGCACTTAAATTCATTTGGGTACTTTTTACACCAAAGACAAAAAATTGGTTTTTGTTTTGTTGTACGCATCAGGAATCGTGAAAGGAAGAAAGTTGTCAGCCCTGACTATAGCGTTAAACTGCATTTTAGTGATGTTGATAGCTGCATCTTTGACAGAGCTTTGGCAGGGTGTAAAAATGGAAAATTCTCAAATTTTGGGCTTAAGCAGATTGCTTGCTTGCAACAGTGATGATAGCTTAAGCAGATTGCTTGCTTGCAACAGTGATGATATGATCCTTAAATTTTTATTCCCTGAGTGTGCGTTTCCACAGAGTCCGAATAGTTAAATATATTACAGAAAGAGAAAAAAAAAGGACATTTCAGTATTTCATCCATGTTTGGCAGTCAACTGACCTTTTGCCATGTGTTCCCCAGTGTCTGCTCTCCTTGTTTTCCTGGAACGGGTTTGCCAGCGACACTCACAAGCCCTTGCTCAAAGAGGCTCTGCTCATTGTGTTCAGGAGGATGAGAGCCTCACAGGACCAGAGCTCTTTTGTATCGCAACAAGACAGTTTGAGGTAAGTGTTGAAATATGTTTGCTAGAAAGAAGTCTCATTGTTTTTTTGTAATTCTATTTTTTTACATCCTGTTACGTGTGACTGGCGCCAGTGGTGTATAGGTTAGAGTAGACTGTTTACTGTTGCATGCAAAGGGCTTGAGGTCGATTGCCACTGAGAGAAATCTATTTTGTTCAGTTTGTCTTTCAACTGGGATGTTGTGTCCCACTCAGTCTTGTTTAGCCCTGACAGGCAGATTCGAATCTGAAAGTGTTGATGGAAATGTAAAATAACTGCAATCAGCCAGGCCGTTATGTGCCTTTTGGTATATGGGAAGTTTGTATGTTATACAGTTATCAATAGATGGCCTTTTTATTTAACCTACCTTTTTCGAGTCCAGTTGATTCCTGTATTCATCTCCAGGTGATATCCATGTGTAGTACCATCTGTATAGTTGTTTATATTGTTGTCTGTAGTCTGCACAAAAGTCAGCATGGGTGGTTGACGGGTGCTCTGGTGTGGTTTGCTCCTTCTTTCCTATCAAACATCTATCGCCCTTATCTCTCCTTCTTCTTTTTTGTGTTTGTTACTCTTTTGTAACACCTCTAATCTTCTGCACTTATATGACCTTATTGTGTTGCAAGTTCAGTAAAACTCTTACTAAAACTAAAACAAAAGTCACCGTGTTGTTGTTTATACAACATTGAGTTCGAATGGTTATGCTCCTTCTTTCCTATCAAACATCTCTCGTCCTTATTTCTCCTTTTTTTTGTTTGTTTGTTACTCTCTTGTAACACCTAATCTTCTGGCGCTCATATGACCTTATGCAGTTGCGAGCGCCGTAAAACCTCTACTAAAACTAAAAGTGAATGTTTCTCTCAGCTGCACGTTCCAGTACTTGTCCAACTTTGTGGAGACCATCCCGACCCTGGAGGCTGCGGTCACGCTGCTCAAACTTCTGGCTGGACTGGCTGAGAGGGCTGGCAGTGAACAGATGAACGTCAAACTGAGTGAGTCAGGAATACCATTTTGGTCAGCTCTAACGGAGACGTCCATTCCAAATCAGTGTACTTGTATTCAATCAGTCGTGTCCTATGGACTGGGTTTGTTGGAGAAGTTGGGGTGGTGGTTAGAATGATGATCCAAATGCTATTGTTATTTAGATGAAGAAATAGCACCTTCCTCAAATTTTCCCAGAATGTTCTCTTTAGAGACTTTTATAGTTCCTCCTGATCACCTTTGAATTGATGCAGAAAAGCAGTTATGTCGAGTCGAGAGCTCAGGAAATCTGCCATTTGTTGAACCCTACAACATTTAGAAGGGGTGGCATAAGTGCACACCTAGCCCTATGCAATGTCCTTCCCTCCTCTATGATCTTTCTTCTTTATTATTTTTTTTTTCGGTTGCATGACGATGGAGACTTCTTAGTGAAGATTTATAAGAGACATGGGCAAGCATGTCTAAATCGTTGACTGGATTAAGCGATCCGAACATCTGGCTAGCCAAAGCAGGAGAAAATTGGGTAAAATCGGTTGTAATACCTAAGCTCTCAAAAGTGAGACTGAAACTGACTCAAAAGCCTTTGCCACAGGAGGGCATTGTTCATGACATAAAATGTTAGATTTATTACTTCCAGCTGGGCTACAAAATATTAATTTTACTTTTCAGGATGAACAGTTTTGTTTTTATTAGTCATTTACTCACCCTGGGTCACTTTCAGTATTAATTACTAGGTGGACTCGTGAACCAGACTGAAACTTCGCGGGCTGGATATGTCCCATGGGCTGTGGTTTTCCCATGCCTGATTCACCATGCCTGTCTCTCACAGCTAAACAGGCCAAAGCATTCCTGAAGCGAGAGTGGCGAGGGGCGGACGGGGAGCGTCTGAAGGGAGCCAAACACAACGAGCTCCTGTTAGTGGTGGTCAAGACGTACATTGTGTACTGCTCCGAGCCACTGGACGCCCTGGAGGAGATCACGACCAAAGGCCTGGCGGAACTGGCCAATGAGGACAAGGATGGCTGTGCGGAGGAATTTGTTTCTCTGAACAGGTAGGCTAAGACTACAGTAGACATTTTGTCACCCAGCTGTTCGACTGTTCCAAGTCCAGAAAACACGACTGTAACAGTTATACCTACATTATGTATCTTTGCTTGCTTTACTCTATATTTTGAATTGGAATTTTGACTAAATATTTCTCGGCACATGCAACCAATACCATAGATTAACACTGCCCCCGCGGGACGCCGATTGGCGACAGTAAGAAGCCGTCCCTTTTCCCCAATGGGATGCCGATCGGCGCCCGTGTGATATAGCGTGTACCGCACCTGTATCCTGGTCCGTGGAGATAAGTGTTGCGCGCGCTGCGTGGGTGAGAAGTGTTAAGAAAGTGAAACTCAAAATAATGTTCAAAATTTTGGGTTTAATATATCTGAACAGCTGGTCGATGATTTGTTGTCGCGGCAAGAATATTTCCGAAGCTTATGTTCCGCTAATCCTTGCGTCTTGCTGATCCTTGTTTGGGTGGTTTTAGAGTGCAGCTGATGGGTCCTGCTTCTTTACTATTCCTCTTTTGTTTCTCTCTGTCCGTCTTACTTTTTCCCAACACTAAAAGATAGCTATTGCGTCAATGTGCTTACTTTTACTCATACAAACCTTTAGTTTTTACCAGTCATTGTGTTGTGCCCATAATAAGAAAAAATGATGAAAAAGCCAATGGTTCCTGAATTTGTAGCCTACACTTAGCTTAGTCATGTCTGTAATCGTAAAACTGACGTAATGAAGCTTTTCTAAAATCCTTGGAAGAAGACGCAAAACTTGACGGAGTCTACATTTAATTTATGAGTCTACTTAGCCTGCAAGGAAAGAAAACAGAGAGAGCCTCACCTCCCTGCCTGCCCTAGCAGCAAACATCCCCTGCCCCCATAACAACAGACATTTTTCTGGGTAAAGATCGGTGTGATCACCCATCTACTCACAACACATATCTGAGGCAGCGTGGTGAAATCAGGCGCTCGTCAAAGTAATCTTAGTGAAGAAACTTGCATTTGTCTGTAGGTTTGTGAATTTTAATTTAATTTTTTTTTTTGGCTCAACACATTTTATGCTCATTAAATAACACTTTTCTGTGTGGATTTTACTGAAAAACTTTTATTAAAGGCACAACAAATGTAAATTTTCAGTTTCCACGGACTCTCAAGCAAAGGAAATAGCCAAACTTTGGCAGCCATTTTTTCACTAATTTTACCTCTGAAACCAGGTGACCCCCGCCTCCTTCATTCGCAAATATCTCAACTTGTATTAAAAATAAATGGATATTTTTTTTCATCCAAAGCAAAATAAATGAACAAACTTTAAGATGATACCAATAACTCTTCCTACCCAAAAATTGACAAGAGCTTGATTCCACCTCATCGTAACACATATATATTTTTTTAAATGCAAGAGAGGCTGTGAAAAGTTGTTGTTTGTACCACCGATTGTCTCAGGCAGGTGGTAGTTCCGGCAGATACGAGTGTATTTTCTGTGTTGAGCATTCATGAGTAACCTGACCTCCCACTTTTGTTCCAGGCACTCGTTTTCCACCTTCTACAAAGTTGTCTTGACTGAACTCATCAGCCACATCAAACAAATCCCGGCTCTGAAAAAGAACGACTCGGAGCAGGTGAAGGAAGATCGCCTGTTGTCCTGGATGATGGCGGTCAAGGTTCTCCATGTGGCGGTCAGCTTAATCAAAGTGTTCTCGGCCCGGGGCAATCTGAGTGCAGCGCTCAAGTTTGGTCGTCAGTTCGTGGAGATCTTCCTGCGTCTGGGCATGCCCCTGCTGGATGTGACGTTCCGACGGCACCATGAGGAGGTGGAGAAACTGTTGAGGTCGTTGCAGCAGAGTACACGCATGCTGCACCATATGTGTGGACACTCCAAGGTATTTTTTTTTTTTTAATAGAGGGTTTTACGGCGCTCGCAACTGCATAAGGTCATATGAGCGGCAAGGGGTGGGTGTCAACAGAGAAGTCTTTACAGGGAATCAGACTTACTCTGCTCACCTCTCTAGCTTCAACAGCACGAGGTCTGCTTCGACTATCAAGGCACCCCGGAAATAGCGGGTCACAACAGTGTGACAAACATACAAAAGAAGTAGAGGAAAAATGACAATAGTAAAAATTAGGAAAGAAAAAGCAGCAGTTCCCTGTTGTAGATCAGACACAGTTGTGAGCGTGACATGATGAGTCAGCCCATTTACAATTCTACTGTGCTTGAACGAGAAATGTCCCCCCTTTGGGAATGGCCTAAAGACACTTCAGTCAGTGGCTCCGTCCTGGGGAGTACTCCAAGGTTTGGTTCTCTCCGCATTTCATATTAAGGAAATGTAGGGGTCATAATAAATTGGTCAAAATTGACTAGATTCCACTTGATGGCTATATAAGCAAGTGGCATTTTCATGTATATGAATCATTTTTTCGTAGTTACTTCAAACTGCAAAGTTGTATAAATATATAAGCTCATGGATTCTAATTCTTTCTCTTAAATATGTGCCGATTTGCGAAATTTCAAAGGGGGAACCAAGAAAGTTTTGAGAGTGCATATGTGGTATAACTACTCTAATTTGTTCATTCCATAATCAATTGACACTGTTGCTATGACTGCAAGCACAATGTTTGCTGGGATGTATATTGTATAATTTATTTTTATACCCATAATATATTGATACTCTAAGAAAGAAATACTATAATGGAACTGAGATATTTAACACATGCTTTGAAATAGCAAAATAAGTTCCCCAGATCCACATCTATTAGATTTCACGGGAGAAATTCCAGATGGTGACATCTGAGCCATCTTAAAATTCCTTCCTCCCATATTGTCGGCTATGCATTTGCCTGCAAATGTACTTCCTTAGACATATTAAGATACATGTCCTTATGCTGCAAGTACTTGATGGGTGTTCTAGTGCTGTTTTCTTCTTCTTCTCTTTCTTCTTCTCATGGTCTGTTATTTTGACATGGTCCTGGTGAAATGTGACCCATGTCTTGTTGATCCAGTGAGACCAGTGGCTCAGCTCTGTCTTCGTCAGCTTATGCTGCTCCTTGTCTGTTTCAGATCAACAAGGATGTGGCTTTGATTAACCAGGTGCCCATGTTGAAGCGTAGTCTGGAAGCGTTTGTGTATCGGGTGAAAGCCATGCTCACGCTCAACAACTGCCAAGACGCATTCTGGATGGGAAATCTGAAGAACAGGACCTTGAAGGTGAGGATGGTTTGCAGTTTTGTCTTTTGTGATTGCAATCATTCAACTAGAATACCCAAACCAAATACATTCATTTAAATCAAAGACATCTGCCCTATAATAGAAGTCAGTGTCTGTTGCTGGTACTTCAATTTTAACAAGAGTTTTCTGTTGATAATCTGTTGTTGTTTTTTTGTAAACTCTAACCCAGTTTTGAACAAAGAGGTATTATTTTTTTTTTACAAAGAATAGATGTCTGTTGCTGGAAGAGAAATCCTGTTTTAATTCAAAAATGGCATGCAGGGGATTGTTATTTTAAAAAATCCCATTCATTAGGAATAGCACTATTGTATAAATATGCAGCTGAGTCTACTAAAACTGAAATGATCGAGGCTGCCTGATTTTCTTCGGTTTGGCGAGGAATTTGGTTTAGAGAGGTTGCTCAAATAGAAGGGAAAAAAATGGGGATTATATTTTTTTTCTCAGTTTTCTGCTGTTTTGTGCAGTGCTTCCACTCTTCCGTATTTTTACAGAAATCCGTACTTTCTGCCTGTTCCGTACTTGTTCCTTCATCATTATGGACTCCCTTCGTAAAATTCTGCGACAGCGTAGGACTACCGAAATTCCGTAGCAAAAGATTCGTACTCGCCTTTGTATCGTCTTGTATACGTTACAGATATTTACGGTAATTCTCTCGGTAAATTGACTTGTGATCTTAGACAGAAAATTACTGTCAGAAAGAATTTTTTTTTCAAATTTATAGTCTAGATCGAGAGAAATTATCAGTGCGAAGATTCTACGGCACGCGAATGCGATAAGGGCTGTGATGAAAGAAATTTGTCCTAAAACTACTAAAATCAAGAATAATTCGAAGAGGTTGTGACATGCGACATTCAGACGTGAAAATTGAGGAAAATTAGGGTATATGCTGGGTATTTGTATATTTGTATTGTGAAGATACATATATATATATATCTATTCATTATTACCAGGTTTGCCTTCTTGTCAATGGTGCGATGACAAACTAATTGAATTATAGTAGCAACGGAAGGGGAACCTGCTTTAAACATTGCCAGCAATGGAAAGATATGTAGGTGAAGAAATCAAATAAGACCAAATGTTGGTGAAAAATAAATGTTATGGGTTGTAGGCAATCTCTTCAAACAGGCTCTCAAATGCCATTTTTAACCCTTTAAAAGCCCTAAGTTTCAATTTCTTCGGGGGCCCCCACACCCCCCACAGAATTTTCCTTACTTTTCAGCTTCAGCTGGTGGAAGCACTGTTTGTGGATTAACCGTGTTCATTTTGAGTGGACATTACTGTAAAGATTATAATCATAACAAGACCACATAATTGACAGCTTGCGTGACCAATGTGAGCCCGGAACAAAGTATTTCATCATGAGGGTTTATAGACCCACTATAGTAAACCCTTAGCTGGGTGACTTTGCCAACCCTATATAAAGTAACTCATAATAAATATGAAAATATAAATTCCAGGGTAAAACAATTTTTCAGTCATTCATATTGAGCGCAGCATTCTTCCCTAGGAATTGTTACCGGTACCAAAAACATACCTTGTTGCTTTGTATTAAAGAATCATTAGCTTATAAGAAAACTAAAACTCACCACTGCTCTATTGGTGGCAGGCTGTTAAAGCTCTTCACAGGTTGGAAATATTTGTTCTTGTGTTATAATATACGTGTATGAGCCTGTAGTTAACAAAACAATAGACTTTGAGAACTGCTCTAGAAAGTTTTACTGTTAATTACATGTACCTTAATAATTTAAAAGTGTGTCAAAACTGTATAAAGATGTATATTTCAGCTTCATTTCTTTCTTGATGTATTGCTTATGATTAGTAGGGCCATGAGAGTCTTGATCGTCAGTTATAGGCCATGTTTCAACTCAAGATCCTGCATGTTTTTGTTCTTAATTCTGCTTCAAGGGCGAGGAAATCCTTACGCAGCAGAGCTCTATCGCTAGCTCAGGGGAAACAACTGCAAATGAAGATGCTGATGAAAATGAAGAGGAGAATCAAGGTGACGAAGATGAGGATGGTGACAGTGAGGTGGAGCTTGAAGCAGAAGTGCCGGAGCAAGAGACAAATGCTGACGGTGGTTCTTACAGCGAAATTTTCTAATGTCCCAGGAAGTGACACTCTAGAACCTCTCCAAAAAGTACAATTTTGTATCGGATGAATGGGTGATTAGTTTGTGTTCTGGTGGCGTTTGCTCCTTATTTCCTATCAAACATCTATAGTCCTGATCAATCCTTCTATTTTGTTTGTTGTTCTCATGTAACACCTCTAATCTTCGGCGCTAATATGACCTTATTGTGTTACAAATGCCATAAAACTCCTACTAAAACAGATAATTTCAAATTTTGCATGGTGCAAAATATATTTATCTGGACAAATAGTGAAAGGTGCTGTAGTGTTACACAGCTCACTGCAGAGCCAAGATTTTTGCCTTGTGATAATTTAGATAAAGAATTGGAATGACAAAATGAACATGACAGTTTGTTGAACTTTTATTTTCTGGAAACTTCAGAGAAATGTCAGATGTGACAAATGCAGTGGATCTGTGGTTCTCTTTATGCTAAAAAAAAAAAAAGCAATATCTCTGCTGTCCAGAGCATATATTTTATAATCCTTTCTTTGCTTTCTTCAGTCACTCACATATTCCCCCCCCCCCGGGCGGTGCCACTGACTAGTGTCTGTAGGCCATTCCCAAAGGGGGGACATTTCTCGTTCAAGCTCAGTAGAATTGTAAATGGGCTGATTCATCTTGTCACGTTCATAACTGTGCCTGATCTACAACAGGGAACTGCTGCTTTTTCTTTCCTAATCCTTACTATTGTCATTTTCCCCTTCTTCTTTTGTATGTTTGTCACTCTCTTGTGACCTGCTATTTCCAGGGTGCCTTTATAGTCGATGCAGACCTTGTGCTATGGAAGCTAGAGAGGTGAGCAGGGTAAGTCTGATTCCCTGTAAAGACTTCTCTGTTGACACCCACCCCTTGGCGCTCATGACCTTATGCAGTTTCGAGCGCCATAAAACCCTCTACAAAAAACCCCACAAAAAACTCCCATATTCTTACTTATCTTAGTTTTCATAACTGTCAAAACACCTGTTATCACGGGCAGTTTTGCATAGAGACGTATATCAAAAGCTGCCTAGAATGACTTACGTCTGTATGCAATACTGCTTGCGTTATGTAGTCGCTTAAAGAACCCCCCCGAAAACATGAACAAAAAAATGAGAAAGGGTGACATGTGTTCACTTTGCCATGTGCTTCTAACACATCCCCTCTTACAGTTAATAACTTCATCTCCCATGAAGGGAAAATTGTCACCAATGAATGTGTCATCACTTCAACGCTCCAGACGTTTTTGGTGGGATTTGTGCAAAAAAGGACTTTGCTAAAACCTGATAAATTAATTATGAAAATGAAGGATTTTAGAATGAAATGATCCCTTCATGGGAGCCTCTTACTAACTGAGCTTACTATAAAGGGAGGTGGTAAATTTTTGTGGGTTGTTTGTTCAGTGTTCATTTACATCATATTGAATCAACCCAAGTCCACTGCAATTTGAACTAAATATCAGTCATGTTAAGAGTCCCTCCCTTGACAAATAGTGTACAGATTTTCTACTGTTACTATTACAATTATAGACATGCAGCAATCACAAAAGAAATCGGAAAGATGAATACTGACTGCAAGCATAAGTTAAAGTGCTGATAAATGATTTAGATGGCTCGGAGACGAGCTCTAAATTAGAACACACCTGGGGGCGGTGTTACTGACTGAAGTGTCTGTAGGCCATTCCCAAAGGGGGACATTAACATATTCTTATGCACAGTAGAATTGCAAATGGGCTGATTCATTAATGTCATGCTCATAACTGTGCCTGACCTGCAACCTTTTCTTTCCTAATCTGTACTATCGTAATTTTCCTCTACTTCTTTTGTATGTTTGTCACACTCCTGTGACCCGCTATTTCCGGGGTACTTTGATAGTAGAAGCAGACTTTGTGCTGCTGAAGCTAGAGAGGTGAGCAGAGTAAGCCTGATTCTCTGTAAGGTAAGGACTTCTCTTTTGACATTCACCCTTTGGCGCTCGTATGACCTTATGCAGTTGCATCAAGCGCCGTAAAACCTCTACTAAAACTAAAAAACAAATAGAACATCCCTCAGCCCAGCAAATGGGAGCACCAGACATACGTGTACTTCCGTGCTCGTCTCACAGCATACCTGCAGTTAATTGGAGTTATAAGTCCAAGCTGGCTAAAACAGCTTCAGCGGGGCTGTTAAAATTTTGGTACTTTTCATTGAACAAAAGCTTTGACTTTGAAGTGTAAAGAGGCATTGACAGTACATGTGTAATAGTTATTATAATTTTATACAAATTGAATTTTGTTATAGTGACTAGAAAAACAAACTGTCCAAAAGAATGGAAATGTTAGCTTATTGGATATTTGCTTCAATCCTGCCTTGTTACACTACACAGTGATTCAACTGATTTGATTCTACTGTAGAGGAAAAAATAAATAAATAAACGGCATACCAAATATTGCTCTACTTTTGGCTATATATCATGAACAGAACATAACTGAAAGTACTCATGAACTGACTGGCATATCTGAGAATGTATTTGTGTACACTTATGCGCCTTACTCTTCAGTACACTTATGCGCCTTACTCTTCACAAAATGTTTGGGTTGCTTTGTTCTTTTCTTAATGAGTTAACACTATTAACAGTGTATAAATTAAATATGCATAAATATTTTTAGACAGCCTGATGATGTAATTTCATTTGTATATATGCACTGCTTGCCTTGTGTGTGTGCGGAAGTGCATGTCAGGCTTGTGTGTGCGTGTGTGTGTGTGTGTGTGTGTGTGTGTGTGTGTGTGTGTGTGTGTGTGAGTGTGAGAGAGAGAGAGTGCACGTTTGCCATTGATTGTTACCCACGATTTTGGGTAAGCTTGTGTGAGCGAATCGTATGGTTGTTTTTACTGTTCATGAATGTAAGAGTGCTGTGTTGATGCTGAATCTTTATGTTGCTTTGGGGCATCCACCCAAAATTTCCCTCGTAGATCAATAAAGTTTATTTCATCTCATCAATTCTTATCTTATTTTCTCTCTGGGCCCCGCTGAGAAGAGAGAAGTTTGCGGATGCTGTGGTGTGGTTTGCTCCTTCTTCCTATCAAACAGCTGTTGTTCTCATCTCAAGAAACACTTCCGATCTTAAGCACTTATAATACAGTAGTCTCCGCCTAAGATCCCCCCACTTACGATCCCGGTTCGCTTAAGATCCTGCTGTTTTAAGAAAACAGAATTTTTACTATACAAGTCACCCTTAAGATCCCGCTCTGATTCACTCTAAAGGTCTACATTCGGCTATGATCCCGCATTTCAGATCATAATTTGCGGAACAAAAACCCGGGCGGGATAGCCGATCAACCAAGAGTGAAAAGTTGAGATCAATAAACTGTCCGTCGCGTCAAAGATCAGCCACTATCGTGAATGTGAACACATACACGTTGCAAAACTCGATGAAGCGATACAATGTTTGCCCCAAACGGGATCACACCGGGGTGTGAACTGACCGACATGTTTGTTTTCCCCACCCATCGCACTCACACCTGAGCTCTCCCCCTAAACTTACATCACTCGCTGGGTTGGTAGGGCCTACACGTTTGCTCCAGGCGGGATCACATTGAACTGAGAACTCTTCCCTAACCATTGCAGAAGTTGTCTCTACTCCCCAATTTGCGAGACAGACTGAATTTTAATTGGTGTGCAACGACAAAGGCGGTTGGGGAGGGGGGGGGGGGAAGACTCGGTCAGAGATGAAAAGCTTAAAATTTTCTACAGGTAACGGGGAGGGGCAACTGGATAAGCGTAGATCTTGAGACTCATGATACAAATGATAGGATAATAAGTGAAAATGGCACGCCTCATGCCATTATGCACTGTGATAGGTCATCAAGGTTAACCACTCTTTGTTTGCCATATGTCATAAACCCACTGTAATGTTAGTATACACACACGACAGTAAACTGGAGAGACGAACACACACGACAGCAAGCATTCTAATAATGAGCCCGGGTGTAGTGTCTGACTTTTTATGTTGATCCCCGAAGGGAGTAACATTAACCAAAAGCCCATGGCATACGGGGCGCTTACGTCCCGTGATTAAAAAGAGTAAGGTACAATACGGTGACTACCGTGGCATCTCCCCTTTTAATATTGAAGAAAAAGGAAAACCTCAAATTGGATTAAAGATTATTGGTTTCGAGTCTCTCAAAGGGGAATGTTCTAACTTTAACAAAATTCACACACAGAGTTCAATTGTCTTTGCAGATTCGGGGCTTGCACTTGAGTGCTTGGTAAAACATTTCATTAAGGGGGTGTAGCTATGGTCAACACCCAAATCCTATAGTTTTTGGTCTAATGTTTGCTTTTCTGCATCAAAGGCGGTGACATAGTACAAAAAAAGGTTACCAAGCAAAAAATTCAAGATTTTAGCCATAATAATCCCGAGCCATCAAAAATAAAGGATTGATTCAGCATTTTTAAAACCAATTTTATATTTTGTCAATCATCAACACTCATCAAGATAGAAGCCTAATATTTGGCATGGCGATTACTGTTGGTAGGTAGAACAACCTTACAGAGCCAATTTGAATTTTCTGTACTGACTTGTGAGCCTTACAGTTCTTGCTATGCACCACATTCAGGTCTCCAATGTTTTCAGATTTTGTCAAATAAAACAGGCCTAAAACTCCAAATGTGTTCCATAAACAGCAAAAATGCTCCTGCAAAGTTATAGAGAAATGTGTATAAAAGATTGTGTCCAAATTTGAAACAATTCTGACAGTAACTTTCTGAGATCTACTCAATATAGTGTTGCTACCTGGTCAGATAAACAATTCTGAGAAAACTGCAAAGAGAGATAATTTTTGGTGAAGATTTTCCTACATTGCTGCCTCTCTTAAATGCGTTTTCCAGGTATTTATAAGTTTGATAAAGGAATTAGGCTTCTAAAGATGGATCCTTGATATTGATATCTATTAAGATACTCCAAAATCTGAAAATTGATATTTTTTCAAAATTTTTACTGATCTGACCAGTGGATCCCCTTAAAGTTCTTTGGTACTTCAGAATTACCACATTTCAAATTGTCTTTGTCACATTCATAGAACTGCATAGCGTCCAGATAATGAAACTAAGAAAATAAATAACCTCGAACAGGTAGGTCTACACAACTGTTGGGTAATCAGCAAAGGATAAAC